CATATAATGGACGTGAACTCGATGATAATTATTGTTTACAAACTGATAATGAAAAACCATTGACAATTGACATATGTACTAAAGATATTTATTGTCCTGATTGGTCTATTGGAATGTGGTCAGAAGTAAGTTTAGATTTATAATTAAATAAAATCATTTCATATTAATTTTTGTTCTATTTAGTGTTCGGGTCCAATGTGTTCATCTGGTATGCAATATCGACAAGTTGTTTGTCGATATGGTCATGAAACATTATTAAATATATATTGTGATGAAACAAGAAAACCATTAGAAATACAAGCATGTCATGTATGGAATAGTACAATTTGTTCAAATATACGACCACTACCAACTTTAGAAAGTACATCATCATTTATATGGGATGTTAAACAATTTGGAGAAGTAAATCAATGAATTCTTTAATCAAATTAATTTTTTTTTGTATTTAAAAATTTTCTCTGTTATTTTTAGTGTAGTGTAACATGTGGTATTGGTCGTCGTTTACGACAAGTTCATTGTATTAATGCTTTAACAAAAATTGCTTATGATGATCAATATTGTTCACATTTACCAATAAAACCAATTGAATATGAGACATGTAATTTAGGTTCATGTCCTGCATGGGTTACAGAACCATGGTCACCGGTAAGATGCTTTTGCCTTTTTTTTTTGCTTTTGTTTTTCAAATCAGTTAAAATTAATTTTAGTGTCCGGTAACATGTGGTTCTGGTACTCAACATCGTTTAGTTACATGTAAAAATCGAGAAGAAAAAGTTTCACCAGAAAAATGTAATGGTCTCAATAGGCCAGCAACAACAATGCAATGTCATATGATACCTTGTTCATTAAGTATTAATACAATTAATGATTTTTCACAATCATCAGCAATATGGATACCAAGTGAATGGTCACAGGTTTGTTATTTAGTCAAAACAAAAAAAAAACAAATATAAATCAAGTATTTTTTCTATTTAAGTGTGATCTTAATACTTGTATACAAACACGAACTACTCGATGTATTAATTCAATGAATGGCAAATCTTTATCAATATGGGAATGTACACAAAATCAACCTCAACCATTATTAAATCAAATATGTCGAATATCAGCCTGTTTAGAATGGCGTGTAGCTCATTGGAATGGCGTAGGATATTTTTTTTAATATTTGTTTTATAACACCAAAAAAAGAAACAATTTACATTATGAAATCTTTCTGTTATTTTTTATTCTTTTAGTGTTCGGCTAAATGTGGTCGTGGTGTTGAACTTGGTTTTGGTCTTGATTGTTATACTCGTCAGATGCCTATACGTAAATTAAACGCAAGTGAATGTGAATTAGCTGAACCTCATCTACCTAAACCTATTGCAAGACGAGTATGCCGTCGACGTTGTATAGAATGGCGAACAAGTAGTTGGTCTGAGGTAAATTCTTAGTAAAAATGAAATAGTTAACCTTTACCAGACGATTGGGTGCTGAGAATAAATAGCATGTGCTTTCATATATTGGGGCTCTTTAATGAAATAATATCACGTAGATAGATTAAAAGCTTGGGTGGTAGTATATGCATGATTAAATAATTCAAAAATGATTTTCATTTTTTTTCTCTTGTGTATGGGGTGTAATGTGCACGAATACAGACACACAAAGACACACGTTCAATATAATTCAACATATATGTATATATATATATGTTTCTCAATTTATTTACTTGAACTTGATGTTCTTGTTTTTTTTTGTTCCTATATCACTATCGTCTAGAACAGATTTCGACGAGAAGAACACTATTTATGAATGTGCTTTTCATCGTTAATCTGTATATTTATCTATATCTATAACACACATACATATATATATATACGATTGTCACAATGTTCCAAAAACAGTTTATATATACATACACAGCAATGATTTCTATATTGTTTTTTCCATCATCCCTATGTGGTTTTATATATATATCTAACAGTGCGACGCCAAATGTGGTACAGGCAAAAAAACTCGACAAGTAACATGCCATCGAAAATTAAATGGTAAAACAATACCAAATCGATTTTGTATGAATAAACGACGAAATTTACCAAGACCAATATCAGAAGAAGTATGTACAAATGGTCCTTGTTATGAATGGATTCCAACAGAACGATGGACTCAGGTATGTCATCTTTTTATTGTTAAGAAAATGAAAAGATATGGTTGTTTTTGTTTTTGTATAATAATAGTGTTCAGCTATGTGTAATGGTGGTTACGAAGAAAACATTCCTCAATGTGCTGCAATTGTAAATGGTACTCAACAAATAGTTAATGATCAATTATGTAATGATGTTATTCGACCACAACTACATCGTTTATGTAATACAGATCCATGTTTTTCAAAACCATATAAACCAAAAAGACGTCGAGGTCGTGGCCGTCGATGGGATACTGGTCCATGGTCACCGGTAAAATATTTTCACAGATTTTTTTATTTGTTGAATAATATTTCTTTTTTTTTTTGTGTATTGTTTTATTAGTGTAATGTATCATGTGGTGTTGGTGAACAATATCGAAGAGTTCGATGTTTGGGTATAACTGATAATCGAATATTAAATAATCGTTTTTGTCGACGTATGCCTCAACCTAATCGTGTACAACAATGTTTTCAAGTTGCATGTCAACCTATGTGGGCAACAAGTGCATGGTCATCGGTATGTTGATTTACAAAAAAAAAAATTATTTAGTGAATAATTTTTCATTTTTGTTTTGTTTTGTTTTTAGTGTTCATCAATTTGTGGTTCAGGTCTTGAATATCGCAGTACATCATGTCATGAAGTAAATAATAATGGATATTTAATGAAAAGTAAACTATCAAATAAATGTGATCCATATCGAGCACCAACTACTCGTATATCGTGTAATATGGGTGATTGTGAAAGTCCATTTTTATGGCATGTAGAACCATGGTCAAAAGTAAATTAGATTTGTATTAAGACATTTTTATTTATATATTTATTGGCTTATTTTAGTGTTCATCGGATTGTAATCGAGGTGAACAAACACGTCATGTTTATTGTAAAAATAAACAAACATCTGTACCGGTTCATGATCGTTATTGTATTCCGCATAAGCCTGTTACACGTATTGATTGTTATGGATTTTGTAAGTTATTTAAAAAAATTAGTTCTTTATTTTTTATCATTATTCATATATATATTTAGTATTTGAATATGATCAAAGTACAAAGAGGTAACATTTAATCTAATTGTTTATCAATTATATCTTCTATTCTTGCTATATTTAACGTACATACAACTTAGTTTAAATATATATCACTATTGTATTTCTATGTTGTATTGTACAATTATAATCATTATGATTAATTATTTCAAGTTTCCCTTTACCCATTATAACATACATACATATATATATATATATATAAATATTCATGAAACTTATTTTATATATAAGCAAGAAGAACGTGTCGTGTGTGTCTGTTTTATATTAATGTTTGATTATAATAGATATTTAGATTATTATCTGTTTTTTTCTTTCTCGTTTGAATTAACAATGCTACTTGATTTGCTTTGCTATTAATTTATTCTACTATTTATATATTATTTTATTTAAAATTTATTCATTTTTTATTGATTTTATTTTATTTAGGCTTTGCTAAACAGTATATCATCAAAAAATTCTTGTCCATTATTACTTTTGCTCACAATCATTCTTGTCCACATTTTGTACAGGTAAAAATAAACATAATTTCTTAAGAAAAAAAAAAAATAAATTTTTTTCTTATTAAAAAAAAATTTTTTTTTGATAGATTTTTCGATGATAATTTGAAATAAAACAAAAAAAAAAAGCATTCTGGATCAATCGGTCTGAATGACAATATGTATGTTATCATATTTAATTTATTTATTCAATATTAAAATTATCTATTGAATAGAGCTTTCTTTCTTATTTGCTTATTTTTGTTTCTATTCAAATTCGTATCAATTTTGTCTTTATTAATTATTCTCGTAAAATCCAGATCTATTTTCTAAAACATTGTTGTCGTGTGTGTGCTTTTTTCATCGTCTTCCAAGTCAGATTTTGTTCTACAATCATAGGTAAATATATGCTTCTTTTTTTTTTTTAACTCTAAAACTTTGATTTTATTAATTTATTATTACATAGGTGATGATGGTTAGCACACGTTCTCTTTTTATTCTTGTTAAAAATAACAATTACTATTATTTCTTGTCAATGAAATATATATAAACGAAACAATACGAATATATGGGTGCTATGCATATTAAAGAAGCGATTAATGCCGTAATACGGACAATGCTTCTACTTTTGCTTTTATTTAATTTTAGTTTATAGAAAAGTTTTAGTTATTGTTGTTTGGTTATTGTCGAGTTTCTTTTTCTTCTTTTCTTTTTCTTTCATCTCATATATATCAAAAAATAGAAAGTAGAAGTGTTTTTTTTTCCATTTTATATGCTATGCACGCAAATGTATTTGTTGTTACTTTTTGTTATAAAGATCTCTCTGTTAAACCTCATCTGTGCCGCGCTGTTCACTTGTGCAATAGAGCTGTCTCTCTCTCTCTCTCTTTTTCTGTCTTCCTTTTTCTTTTCTTTTTAATTTGGTTCTTTTTATTTTCTGTTTTGTTTCTGCGTGTGTGTGTGTGTGTGTATTTTACTACTCTAGCATTAGAATTTCTCTCAGTGCTATTGTTTGGTTTTGCTCAGCTAATTTCATTTTGATTTTGCATTGAAAATGTTCTTTTTAATACTAGTATATGTTTGGTTGTTTCTTTTTTCTTTAATGTCTTAAATAATTGACTGTGCTTTTTAAAAGTGTCTTTCTATTGTCGTCATCATACATATATACATATATATTGAGTTATATTTTACTCATATTCTACACATATGTATGCTTAACAACATAAAAATTACACACAACTAAATAAATCATAACCTGGGTAGACTACATTTATATTATAAAAAAAAAAAAAAAAATTTTAATTTATTTAACAATTAATCAACTTGTGTTTTAAATGGACTGTCTAATGTTCGTTTTTTTTCAGGAATTGGTGTTAATGGTGGAGTTCTTGTATGTTGTGTTATATAATTAAATAGAATACGAAATTCTTCTTGAGATAATTTTCCATCGCCATTTACGTCAGCTGTTTTAAGCATTTCTTTAGCTTGTTTATCAGTTAATGATTCACCAAGATCTTTCATAGTTTTTTTTATTTCTTTAGCTGTTATAAATCCATCAGAATTTCTATCAAATGCACGAAATGTTTCTTGAAAATAAGCATCATATGCATATTGACCATACTCTTGCATTATAATACAAAATTCATCAAATGATATATTAGAACGATTGTGAAATAATTCTTTCATTTTTGTTTCATTAATTGGCATATGTAATTTTTGACATACTGATCGAAGCTAAATATAAAACCACAAAAAATATCTGTATTAATTCATATAGTAGATTAAAAATTTACATACTTCACTAGAACTAATAGAACCATCTTTATTTTTATCAAATACTTGAAATGTATCAAGTAATTGTGTAATACTAATGAATTGTTCAGACATTCTTGGTTATCTAGTTAAAAAAGACAAAAATTATTTTTCATTAATTTTCAAGTTTGTTTTTGTCTTCCTACTTATTCGTTTACCTAGTAATCACACTGTTGGCTTGTCGACTAAGACTGAATCGTTGTTATAAGGTACCTGTATATATAAGGTTGTCTAAAATATCATTAATTATCTATTCGAAAGAAAGGAAAAAGTACATTAATATGTGAAGCGTCATCAAACGTAGTCATTGTACTGTTTAATGTTTTGGGTTTTTTCTTTTTTTTTCCTTGACCTACCTCGTGATGTCAGCAAATTACTAATAAAATGGTTTTGCTGTTATTCACATTTAAGAAAAGGAAAACCGTGACTGACAAGCATTAAGAATAAAATAATAAGAAACGATTTTTCTTATTTATTTTATGTTATATACAAAAAATTACTTGGATGCTTGTGCATGTATGCTTATCGTTAAGTGGAAAAAAAAAACAAAATAAAAGAATATTTATCTTTCGAAACTTATCTGCGTAATTTTAACTGATATAAAAAAGGATTCTTTTTCGTTTTGTTTTTTATGACCTAAATGATACTTCACTTGGAATAGACGTCAGCAACCTAATGATAAGATATTTAAAATGATAACAAACATATATCAGTATATGTCATCCATAAACGAAATTGTTTCAAAAAATAATCATAAGTGAAAGAATTGTAATTGATACACTGAAAATATCAATATAAGAATACTTCTATTTATTTGTTTATTTGAAAATTATTGTAGCGATTGATAAGGTTTGACAAGTATTAATAAAAAGTATTTTTTTGATTCAACATCATGTTAGAGATTTGATAAAAAAATAATTTACCGAGATACACGAAAGTAATAAAAAGGAAAGAAAAAGAAAGAAAAATATGAAAGAATATTCTTGAATGAAAAGAAATAATCAGAGTTAAGTGCAATGATCAAATCGAGTGTAGGCATTACGCATACACTGGTAACCTACTTATTAATAATATTCTTTATATTTTATAGGAATTCGAATAAAAATATTTGATGAATAAATACCGAATCAAATCCGACGTAATTCATATTCAAAATAAATTTGTTTTTATTACAAAAGAAAAATCAAATTTTTCTTCAAATATCAAAAAACAAACAACAAAATTTTCTTTTCTAATATTTCTTATGAAAACATTTCCATATATTTTGTTTCCTTAGATTTAAATATCTCAATAAAGAATAACACTGTCTCATCGAGGCAGCAAACTTGATCATTTTTTTTTCTTGATTAGATAAAACATAAGGAGAATAAGCATTCATGCGCAATAAGATTGAGTTTCAATCAAATTCTAATCTTTATAGTCTTAATCAAGTATTGATATATATATAGAATAGTGAAAAAGAATTTCAATTCTATTTTTGACAGTAAATTTTAAACTTTCGTGATAATGATTACTCTAAAATGAATATTTTATAATGTGTATTGAAATATACAGTAGCTAACAAAATTATTCTATATAATTTATATTCAATTTTTCCGCTGTTTTAAACGTAAAAAATCCAAATGATTAATCGAGTAGAGAAAAATATATGGAAGAAGAATATTAAAAATGTAATAGAAATGTTTATAAGGTTTCCAATGATGGAATTCTCAAAAATTCAAATTTCGAGCTCCTCAACACCTGGACTACACAAGTATTGTTTTGTTCAGATTACACAAAACGATAGAAAACAATTGTCTAGTTCGATACAGTTTCTTTTTCACTGAGATACAGCAGCTTGATTAAGGAATACAAATTGAATAGATTATAGATGATAGTGAATAGACAGTTTTAAGAGCTTCTGTAAAATTGCTCTATCTCAGTCAAAATGTTTGTAGAAAACCTGAAGACATGTGATTTTCTTGAGGATTGTTTAGTGTATTCAACACAATAATAGTCGCACGTTTTAAGTGCTGCAAAATTAGAATTTCGATCTTTTGAGAACCTCGTCTCATTGAAATGTAATTCTTTTCACTATTTAAAGACAGTGGAAAAAATTGAAAAAAAAAACTTTGGTGAATAATTTTTGTTGCCACTGTATTGATCTTGAGATAAAACATTTTCATGTATTGATATAAATCAAATGAAGTCAGGTTGTGCTTGAACTAATTATAAAGATTTCATTTTAATCCCGAAGTAAATTTAGAATTTTTAATAGAAAAGTATTTGTCAAAGTTTGTTTAACAAGAGAGAGTTTTCGACTCATCAATTGCTTTTAAATTTGGACTCAATGCATTGGGTAAACTTTTTCAGTTTTGGCTTGGAAAATACTATCAAATCGAATGATGATATTTCGATCTGAGATTTTCCTCAAAGATAGATATATTTGTCAGTAGAATGCCTTGAGTATTTCAGCTTCAAATCATGTTTTCTTCTCGAAATACTGAACTCTAAATAATTACTCACATTTCACGCAAGGGTGCCAACATTTTCTGTTTTTTTGCCATTCTAATATCTGAAGAAAGAAATATTCTTTTGAGTTTGAATGTTCAGGATATTCTACAGATAAATAGATCTATATGTGAGCAAAACTTCAAGTCGAAACACCATCATTTAATTCATTAGTATTCACCATGCCACAGGCTTAAGTTCTGGTAAAATAACTGTAATTCTGGACAGAAGACGTGAAGACACGCCAGATTCCTCAAACCTAATGCTGTTCCGTTTTTGATACACTTCTCTTCAGTTATCTCGTGAAGTTTGAAAGCTGGAAGGTTCATTCCAATGTCATTCGATGCAGCTTAGCATACTCTATTTATGTTACAAGGATGACTTTTTTTGTGATTGAGTTCTCAAGCATCTAGAGACTTTATCATCGTTCCATGTTGTTACATAAAAGACTTTTTTTGTATTCAGTGGCACTGATAAAACTTCAATTGCTTGCGAAAGTACTTCTTCAAATGAAACGCTTCTAGAGCCCGATTTGTATAGCATAAAACAGGCTTTCAAATGCTAAAAAATATTTTCTCTAAACTATTTTTTCTTCATTGAAAAAAAATACAAAAAGCAACTGTAACGCTGTTCCACTTATTTTTTCGCCCAATGTTGAGGCACTTAACGTACTCAGCAATATTTGATTTTCTTAAATATTGGTCGTTTATATATATCTAATGGTTCTAAGCAAGAATCAAATTGCTACATAGAAGAGGAGATCATTCACTATACAGTAAGTTGGACATTGTTGATGAATGGATAAGTGTCCTTAGCGACGAACATCAAAAATGAATACACCATTTCGTAGCGAATTAAAGTTTGCATTGAATGGTATATTACTGAGCATTTTTTGAACAAAATTCATTGGTTAAGAAGTTCAAAAACCAGTTTTTTGAACAGTTTAAAACTCGGTTTTCGATATCGAAAATCGGTTAGAAAGACTAATACTAACATGGTATTTTAAATGGATTTATTTTTATGGTGTGCTGATGATGTGCGCCATCTTTTTCTTAGCTTTTTAGTATTAAAATCTGCATGCAATTTCGGTCCAATGAAAATTTTCTATTTATGTCATAGCATTACAAAAAAAGAGAGAAAGAAAGTTCTATTCGATTAGAATCATTTGTGTTCATAGCTTACAAATAGTCAGTCACTTCATATAAAAAACAACCTTGTATTTGTAGATATACACACACATTTTCTTCGATAATAAATGGCTGCAATGGAGTTTGATGACGTTTATGAAGAAATTCGTGGTGTTCTTGTAAGTATTAGTGTTTTGTCTATTAAATTATTGTATTCTTTATGTTTTTATTTTTGTTTATAGAATCCGGGTCGTTTAAAATTAACATCGAATTCAGTTGTTTTTAAAAATTTACGAACTGGTAAAGTTGAAACAATAACTAAAGATGAAATTGAAAATATTAAATGGATGAGACGTTCACGTGGTTATGGCTTAAAATTTATTACAAAAAATGATACATCCTTACGTTATGATGGTTTTAAAGATACAGTATGTATTGCTTCTAATGAGAGAAAAACAAACAAGTCTTTTTTTTTTGTCTTAATAGGATATTGATCGTTTAAAAGAATTTATGACAATTAATTTTGGTAAAAATGTTGAAACACAAAAAATGGCAGTTAATGGTTGGAATTGGGGAAAAGTTTCGTTCGGAGGTAGAAAAAAAAATATTATTATGAAATAATCGTTTACACTGTTTGTTTTTTTTTTATTTAGCTGGTAATCTTTCATTTGAAGTTGATAATAAACAAGCATTTGAAGTTCCATTAAAAAATGTTTCAAGTTCAAATAAAGGAAAAAATGAAATAACACTTCAATTTCATCAACCTGATGATGCTAAAGTATCACTAATGGAAATTCGTTTTTATGTTCCACCAGGTGATGTTGATGGTGATGCAGTTGAAGTAATTATTAGATTAGAAAAAGAAAAAGTTTTTCTCCTAGTTTATGTCTATTTAGGATTTTCATCAAAATGTAATGAAAGGCGCTGCTGTATTGACAGCTAAAGCTGGTGATGCTATTTGTAGTTTATCAGATATCAATTGTCTTGTACCACGGTATGGAAAAAAGAAAACATTTAGAACAAAAAAGAAAAATACTAAATTTTGTGTTTTAGTGGTCGACATGAATTACGATTCTATCCAGGCTTTTTTGATTTACATGGAAAATCATACGATTATAAAATTCCATACAATCAAATTACACGTGGTTTTCTTCTTCCTCATAAAGATAATCGACAAATGTTTTTTGTGGTAAATTAATATTAATCAAATCTAATAGGAAAATACTGAAAAGAGAAAGTCAAAAAAGGATTGATAACTATGGCTCTTTTTCCTTGAATTATGAATAGTTTAACGTGTTTTTTTTTGAAACAAAATTCTGAAGGATTAACTCGATTTTCGTAGCTGATCTAGTCATATGCTCCACATAGAATCTCAAATTCCAATGTTTCTGTTTAGCTTAGTTTGGATCCACCAGTAAAACATGGTCAAACACGTTATCAATATATTATATTTGGATT